TTTATACAGAAAGCTTTTGGCTGCATTTGAATTGTTTTCTTAGGAAATTACTGGATTAGAAGGTGTAAACGTCTGTGGATTTTATTACCCACCACTTGGTGTCTATTTGGTATTTTCCTGATGCCGCCCTTGATTCTAGAAAAGGATTTGCCGTAGCTCAGGAAGTACAGATGATGACACTAGAACAAAATAGAGAGAAAACACAGGGAGAGAAGAAAAGAAGAGTAAGTTTAGATTCCAAAAATACATCCTATGATGTGCTGCAGTTTCCTGCAGTTTTCTACAGTTTTCTAATGTACAAGTGAATTAAAAATTCAAGGTATACAACGACTGATTGTAGAGATAAAATAACTTTGCAGATGTAAAGAAATATGAAAAAATCCCAGCCATTGGTAATAGTAGACTCGAAAATGAGGTAGGTCAAAGTCCCAGTCAGCCTCTGTCTAGGGGGAAACGCTTAACTCGTCTGCATCTCAGTTACCTGATTACATGTGATTGGATAGTGACATCTACTTGCTAGAGGTGACCTGTGCATTTTTTACGCTTTCCAACTGCCATTGGAAATAAGATGACTTACAAGATCTATGGAATCTGGTGTTCTGTATCTGGTATTTGTAAAATAGAAGTTAGGAATAGGGACCCCAGACACATTTCTTCCCTTGGTTGTCTTAAAGGGGACACTGATACAGTGGACAGTTTCCTCAACTATATTTCTAAAAAAAGACAAGTTTTATATGGCTTTTGGGAGGGGAGCACTACACACTGGTGTCAGTTGGGGGGAAATAGGGGAGGGACGGTGGGGGGTGGGGAGCTGGGGAGAGATAGCAAGGGGAGAAATGCCAGATGTAGGTGATGGGGAGGAAGGCAGCAAATCACACTGCCACTTGTGTACCTATGCAACAAGTTTGCATGTTCTTCACATGTACCCCAAAACCTAAAATGCAATAAAATAAATAAATGGGGGAAAAAATTGTGGCAAAATACACATAACATACATACAATTTACTATCTTTTTTTTTTTTTTAGGTTATTTTTTTTTTTTTTTTTTTTTTTTTTTTTTTTTTATCTTTTTTTTTTTTTTTTTTTTTTTTGAGACGGAGTCTCACTCTTGCCCAGGCTGGAGTGCAATGACTCGATCTCGGCTCACTGCAACCTCCGCCTCCTGGGTTCAGGCAGTTCTCCTCCTCAGCCTCCCGAGTAGCTGGGATTATAGGCATGTGCCACTATGCTCAGCTGATTTTGCATTTGTAGTAGAGATGGGGTTTTATCGTGTTGGCCAGGCTGGTTAAGTTCAGTGGTATTAAGCTTATTCATACTCTTGTGCGGCCATCACCACCATCCATTTCCATGCCTCTTTTCATCTTGCAGAACTGAAAGCCTGTTTCCATTAAACAGTGATTCCCCATTCTCTCCTGCCCACAGCCTCTGGCAACCACTATTCTACTTTATGCTTTCATGATTTTGGCTATACTTAGTACCGAATATATGTGGAATCACACTGCATTTGTGCTTTTGTGACTAGCTTATTTCACCTAGCGTAATTTCCTCAAGGTTTATCTGTATTGTAGCATATGTCAGAATTTCCTTCCTTTTTAAAGCTGCATAATATTCCATTGTAATGGATATAATGCCACATTTTGCTTATCCGTTCACCCACTGATGGACACTTGGGTTGCCTCCATGTTCTGCCTATTGTGAATAATACTGCTACGAACATGGGTGTAGAAATACCTTTTGAGGACCTGATTTCAATTCTTTGGGGTATATACACAGAAGTGGAATTGTGAATTGGATGGTAATTGATTCTATCTTTAATTAATTTATTTATTTTTGAGATAGAGTCTTGCTCTATTGTGAGACTCTATCTCATAAATAAATAAATAAATAAATAATTAAATACAATGGCATGATCTCGGCTCACTGCAACCTCTGCCTCCTGGGTTCAAGCGGTTCTCCTGCCTCAGCCACCTGAGTAGCTGGGATTACAGGCATGTGCCACTACGCCTCACTACTTTTTTTGTATTTTTAGTAGAGAAGGGGTTTCGCCATGTTAGTCAGGCTGATCTTGAACTCCTGACCTCGTGATCCACCCGCCTTGGCCTCCCAAGTGCTGGGATTACAGGCGTGAGCCTCCGCGCCCGGCCTCAATTCTATAATTTTTTGAGGAGCCACCATACTGTTTTCCACAGTGGGTGTACCATTTTGCTTTCCCACTAATAGTACACAAGGATTCTAGTTTCTCTACAGCTTCACCAACACTTGCTATTTTCTATATTTTCTGTTTTTTTATATTTCAAAGTGAGATCTGAGGATATACATATTTTTGATAGTAGCCATTCTAATGGGTGGGAGGTGGTATCTCATTGTGGTTTTGATGTACATTTCCCTGATGATTAGTGATGTTGAGCCTTCTTTCATGTGCCAATTGGCCATTTGTATATCTTCCTTGGAGAAATGTCTATTCAAGTCCTTTGCCCATTTTTTTTTTTTTTTTT